AAATATGCCTCGAAATAATGAGAAACTTGGGCTTTGGCAAGACAGTCAGATCTGCATACCTTGCTGAACAACACACCAAAAGTGTCATCACCAACTAAGCCACTGCAGTGGTGTGTATTAACTCAAGTGGTGGGAGGAAGGTACTTACGGGACTACACTGCTCCAAAGAGCAGGGAGGAGAAAGGGCATAATAAAAGCACAGAGGAAGTGAAGGGATCAAAACACCCTTCGAGATTCAGCTACTTCCTAGGAAAAGTGTGCCTTTCCTCCCCTAATCCTATCTTGCAAGTGTAATTATTTAGAAGTACATGTCCTTCCCTAACAAAGCCTCTTCAAGGTTGCTTCCTATTCATCTTTACTAGATGCTGGAGATGCAAAGAACCTGGCACACAGGATGCATTCGATAAATGTTTGATGAATACGTACATCAAAGAATAAATGGAAAGATAGATGAGAGATGGAAGTTACTAACTGTACTTAATTCAACTAGAAAGGAAGAAAGGATTAAACCAAAAAATGAAATAAAATTCAAGGAGAAATAAGATCTTCATTGCAAAAACAAAAACAGCATATATATATATAATGCATATATATAATGTATATATATATATAAAGGCAGAGATACATAATAAAGTTAAGCATATCCTGTTAGTCAAAAACAGAGATGTATACGGTCAAGGAACTAGGAACAAACAGGTGCAAGGTGGAAATAAAGACATAGTGGGAGGGAATTCCCTGGTGGCACAGTGGTTAAGAATCCACCTGCCAATGCAGAGGACCCGGGTTCGAACCCTGGTCCGGGAAGATCCCACGTGCCGCGGAACAACTAAGCCCGTGCATCACAACTACTGAGCCTGCGCTCTAGAGCCCATGAGCCACAGCTGCTGAAGCCCACGCACCCAGAGCCCGTGCTCTTTAAACAAGAGAAGCCATCGCAATGAGAAGCCCACGCACCGCAACGAAGAGTAGCCCCCGCTCGAAGCAACTAGAGAAAAGCCCGCGCGCAGCAACGAAGACCCAATGCAGACTAAAATAAATTAATTTTAAAAAAAGGGCTTCCCTGGTGGCGCAGTGGTTGAGAGTCCGCCTGCCGATGCAGGGGACGCGGGTTCGTGTCACGGTACGGGAAGATCCCACATGCCGCGGAGCGGCTGGGCCCGTGAGCCATGGCCGCTGAGCCTGCGCGTCCGGAGCCTGTGCTCCGCAATGAGAGAGGCCACAACAGTGAGAGGCCCGCGTACCGCAAAAAAAACAAAAAACCATAGTGAGTACCGCAAAAAAACCAAAAAACCATAGTGAGAGACACGTAAAGGTGCCTCCAAACTTCTGAAGATTCTTGGGAATAATAAAACTAATGGACATTCGACTCCTAGAGCGTACCAGAGAATATTACAACAAAACTCAGCCTCCAAAAACCTATGAAATCTGGTAACTGAGTCAGCAAGCCTTATGTAGAGACAATAATATTTTACAGAGAATCTGCCATAGGGCATGACAATAAAATTTCAAATTAGAATTGGAAGGAGAGTAAAACCCAAAGTAACGATAGCCCTCATTTTGTTGTGTTTATTTCTCCTTCCAGTCTAAAATCAGCAGCATCTACCCTGGAGTACTGCATTCAAACCTGGAGGTCACATATAACTCCTAAGATAAGCAGAATTTTTAAACTCCCACTGTGCTTATGGTTGACAACATGTTCTTTTAGGATAAGGCAGAAACTGGCAACAGGCTCTGAAATTTTAAGCTTCAAATGCTAAGTGAAGAGTGGATACCAGGATTTCCCAGTAAGTTGGAGTATTCAACATAAGCATGTTATGCTCCCTCCTGAAAACCTACTAGAACTACTGTAAAGGAGTGTTTTGTTTGTTTGTTTGTTTTTTTAACGTACAACTCTGCAAGAATGAGGGAGAAAGGAGGGGGAAACAGCAATTCAATTTTAGAAAAAAAGCAGATGGAGAAAAGCAGCAATGGGGAAAACCAAGAGTCAACCATATTTACACTGTAGAATTCCCCAAAAGATCTGGGAATTGGCAACACTGAGTACACCTTGGAAAATAGGGGTGAGTGGGGGACTAAAATAAACTTGGCTGAAAGTTTATGAAAGTTGGTTGGACCTCTAGATGCATGTTTGGAGGTTGATTCTCTGGAGTGGGTAAAACAGAGAAGTACATGGACTGCAGGACACAGGCACAGCTGTAAGAGGAGATATTATACCAAAAAGGAATTAAGAAAAAAAGGCACACTGCATGCTGAAGGCCCCTGTGCTCTTCCTCCTGACTGGCTTCCAGAATGATGGCCCAAGGCCTTTTATCATTCAAAAAACCTTCTGTGGGGAATCTGACCTGTTCTAAAGAGACTGCAGTAGTCATTCAACCAACAGCCAGGCCCTGAAGGCCCAACAATGAGGCCGACAAACTCCACCCACACACTCAGAGCATTTTTTAGTCCACCCCTTTAAACATAAGCAAACCACCAAAGATCAGAACACATTTGTGAAAAGCCTTTAACATGTGAGACCAACACAAACAAAATAAAAACTGGAGGAAACAATGCAGAAGGAGAAAACTTTAGCATCTTCAAAGATGAGAAAATACAGCATACATGAAAAAAGAACAAGGCTATAAAAAAGAAAGATTTGGGGAACAAAGGATCTCTTAAAAATTAAAAACCTGACAGAAATTTTAAAGAAATTCTTTTTTAACATAAGGGTTGGAAGATAAAGTTTAGATACACCTCTAGAAAGACCAAAAAGACAAAGGTGAAAATTAAAAGACTGTATGAAACCAAGTGGACCAGTCCAGAAGATCCAAGACAAGAACAAAAGTTCCAAGAGGAGAAAAATTACCCCCAAACTGAAGGACACGGGGTTGACAAATTGAAAGAGGCCACTGAGGGCCAGTACAAGTGAAAGAAAAGCTTTCTTCAAGGCACATGATCATGAAATTTTAAAACACAGGGATTAGAAGCTAGAGAAGAATGGCCTTATGTTTACACATTTCTGAAGGAAACTACTTCCCAATCCAGAATTCTATATTCAGCCAAACTTTCAGACAAATGAGTAGAATAAAAACACTTTTAGACATGCAAAAACTTTAATTCTAAGGCACTGTAAAATTGAAAAAAAATAAGTAAATGTGTCAGTATTATCAGATTTCTTGCTGTTGGAGAAGGGAGATACAAACATAGAAAGGGGAGGCTAAAAAGAAACCTCTGGTGCTGGTTTACAACTGGAGGCATCAGGAGATGTGTACGCGAACTTCCTAGTTCTGTACACTGACCATGTTTACCTCTGTAAGAATGAGCACACCCAGACCTTAGTTTCTAAATACCATACCCTACTAAATGCCTGATCCTGAATGGGTCAGGGAAAGTACAAGATGAGCCTGTAACACTTTGTTGTGCTGGAAAATAAGGAAGTACTCAAAAAACGATGGAACGTGCCACAGGACACAAACTAGCCTGAAGGGAGACCTGCTAGCTAAATCTGGAAACATCTGAGCAAAATAATGACAGTAATGAATTATAACCCACTAAATAATACATGAGTTCAAACTGATAAATAAATGGGGAAAAGGGGAAACTCTTGATTTCAGTATAGTAAAAAAAAAAAAAAAGTTAGAAAAATCACTGTTTCACACCACCACAGTAATAACTTACTCAGGCAAGAATTATCAGTGGGGCTTCCCTGGTGGCACAGTGGTTAAGAATCCTCCTGCCAATGCAGGGGACACAGGTTCGAGCCCTGGTCTGGGAAGATCCCACATGCCACAGAGCAACTAAGCCCATGTGCCACAACTACTGAGCCTGTGCTCTAGAGCCCGCGAGCCACAACTACTGAAGCCCACGCGCCTAGAGCCCGTGCTCCACAACAAGAGAAGCCACCGCAATGAGAAGCCTGAGCACCTCAACGAAGAGTAGCCCCTGCTCACCACAACTAGAGAAAGCCCGCGCACAGCAACGAAGACCCAACACAGCCAAAAATAAATAAAATAGATTTATTTAAAAAAAAAAAGAATTATCAATGGATGCTAAAACTAGGGATTCAAGTTTGATGAGGAATAAGTTATTTACATAAACTCTAATTATCTCCCCACAATTTACTTACTACCAAAGGAGAAAACATTAACTAGACAGTGGAGAGACCTGGTAGGTACCACCCCAATCAAGTATCAAAGTTAATGTCAATAATAATGAGACAACACAACACATGCCTCTCAGTGTGAGGCTTTGAGGACATATTATTGCTTACGTTGTAGTCCTGCCAAAAATGCATAGTGTGAATCAAATCATGAGGAAAACAACCCTAAATAGGGGTGGCATTCACAAAATGACTGGCCTCTACACTTCAAAAATATCAATACCACAAAAGACAAAAAGAACAGCTGAGGAACTATTTCAGACTAAAGGAGATAGACATAAGAGCTAAATGCAATGAACTGGTTTCCAAACTTAAAAAAAAAAGTTGCTATAAAAGAACATTATTGAAACAGCAACATTTGAATAAAGACTTTAGATTAAAATATCGTACCAGTTACTTTCCAGATTTTGATTATATTGTGATTATCCTTGTCTTAAGAAATATATCCCTAAGTACTTAGAAGGTAAAGGGGAATGATGTCTGTGACTTATGTTTTCAAACCGTTCAGGAAAGTGTCTGATGAGAGAATGACAAAGCAACTGTGGCAAAATGTTAACCTCTGTGAATCTGGATGAAAATGATTCCTGGGTTCTTCAACCTATTCTTGCAACTTTCCTATAATTTGGAATTATCTCAAAATTAGAAATGAAAAAACCAAGAATATTTTTATTTATTCAATGTTTTATATACAACTTAATTCTCAGTCAGTATTTGCAAGGCCATGTTTTCCAAGGTAAAGAATGGCAATAATTGGTGGGGGAAACCCACTGGAACTCTTCATGAGCCAAGAGAAAAGGAACTGAGATACAACCTTTTGAGGGTAGACATGTGTTCATATTGAAAATACTTAGTCACAGAAGTGTAAATTTTTCATTTTATTCAAAGTTGGTACAGAAGTGCTAACATTTCCATAAAATAATTACTATACTTCAGTTACAGGACAAAATACCACAGAAAGGAATATACTTTGCAAGAAATGTAGTTCATCTTAAGTTTCCAAATACTTTTAAAGGCTAATGCAGCAGCTGGCAAAATAACACATAGTACACAAAGAACAGTGTATTTTACAGAGTCAGTAATGAAAACTGACAGCTCTTTAGCAGATTTGCTTCATTTTTTCATTTTTAAACAGTTAACACTTTTAAAAACACATTAAACCAAGATCATACATGTCTACAATTTAAAAAATAAGATTGTATACAATAGGTTAGAATAAGTCAAGTTAGAATTGTCATGTATGGTTAACAATCCTAAATCTACAATTTTAATTGTATTCCTTTCAATATGGAAGTAACCTGGTTTATATCAAATTCTACTTTCTGCTTGCAACTAAAACATTGTACAGTGAGATGGACCTGATCAGTCAAGCCTTAAAAAAAAAAAAAATGCTGTGGACAATGAAGGTACCCTGGAAATCAGTTTACAATTCAAAAAACTCACCAATAACCCAACAACTTCATTTAAAATCACATTTGGTCTACAATGCATAACTGACAAAACAATCCATGTATACAATACACAACCCCAGTGCACAGACTGGTCTCTCACAGAACATTTGAACAAAGCTTAAGAGGCAGGACACTGGGAAAAACATTTTTCAATGTAGACATCTTTTAAAAATGCATTAATACTTACATATCAAAATTACTAGATAAAAGCAGCAGTACTCTGCTGACATTTGGCTTAAAAATAAAGGAATGAATGAAGCAATTTCACAGGATATTAGAAAAGGAATTGGTTTTCTTCTTGAAGAAGACTACTAACTTTTGCACAGCAACTATTTTTGATATCCACCTTATCAAAAAAAAAAAAAAAAAGGAGAAGAAGAAGCACTGAGAAGCATAACATAGTTCATATGTGATTGCCAACATAGGTCCAGGCAACAGAAAATGGGATGTCCAAGCAAAGAATGGGTAAATCCTCGCTTTATTTTGGAACTCTGTTGGCAATCTATAAACTGAAGCATTATTGGTGGGGGAAAGCAGGGCAACAGATTCCATACCATCATCTGACACTAATGTAATATGTCATTATTTAAAAAATAAAGCTTTTGCATTTTAACAACCCCACAGAAAAGTCCATGAGCAAAAGACCTGTTGATCTGTTTGCCACTCAAAAGTTAGAGATCTCACAGTGAAATTAGAAAATTCTATTTATACATATTTACACCGCTAGGAACACTTTCACCTAATTAAAGCAATTTTCCATGGAATTACAGATGAAAGATATTCTGCCAAAGGAATCTTCAAAAGCATCCTTTAAGTTCTTAAAAACTATTTTAAATTTAAAAACAAAATTTAAAGATACAGAACACATTCTACACAGGACTAACAGGTTATTACTGCTTTGCCTTATCACATATTGCTAAGCCAAAGATGTTCCTCAAACCTCTCCTTTCTCCTGCATTTCTGGTACTCCTCTCCAGTAACCCCACCGAAGCCTGAGGTTTTACATTCTCAAAAAATGCTGCAGGTCCACAACCTGGCGACTTTTGGCTAGAGGGCGTAAGTCTCTCCCTCAAAGTGCTCAGGTTAATTCTTCTAAAACATGTTCCATTAGTCTATACCAGCTTTAATCTTCATTCCATATATTATTAAAGATGATTATCCCTAAGAAGATAAACATACAAAATAGAGGAGAGTGGGAACAAAGCTAGTCACTTCTCTCCATCCTGAGAGTCCTTCCATCTTTTGACATACAGGCAAAATCCAAGACACAAATGTATTTATTCATTGTTTACAAACAGGGACTATTCAGGTGTAGAAAGTGAGGAGTAAAATAAGGATAATGTCGAGTTCAAGAAAACACATTATTTTCTTCTTTTGCATGCATATTCACAGATTTCATCTAATCTAGTCTTGAAGCGGGTAATGAGACAGGCAAAAGAATCCTTTAGACTCTTACAACCATTGTGAAAAGCAAAGCACTTCATTTGGCAGATCTGTCTCAGTTAGTTTGATGCTCGTAACACTTGGATCAAATCCTGCTCTATTAAAATGAAGTGCAGTGAAGCATATGAAAAAATAACTTCATTAAGTTTAGATTAAATTTACGCAAAGATTAAAGATTAGTATTTGCCCTATTAAAATGTGAGATTTCTCCATGTTTTCAAGGTACTATTGACGGGAGGTAAAATTTCCTAAAGATTTATGATTAAAAAAAAAAAAATCCAATGGCTCTACAGCTTAAAGCAGAAGTTTGTCAAAATGTTCCACCCACCAAAAACCTAGAAGTCTGTCCCTGTTTCTCAAGTTCCAGATTGTAGGAAAGAGCCCACAGACCCCATTTTAGCTAGTAACCCCCCAATACAATTGCAGCATTCTTGACATTGGTATTCTCTCCTCCACCAAAGCAGTACAAACGTGCTCAGATTAGAACACTGAATCCCTTATGATTTAGGACCCCTATCTTAGGTACCTCACTGTCTAGGGCTTTCAGTACTGCGGTCCTCATCCTGACAACTCGAGACAAACCCATGGTGGGCTTTTTATGCCTGGCACTTGTGGGACAATGAGAATACTGTTAGTCTTGTGCTTTCTACATATGGAGTTACAAATATGAGGGAACATGGTTTTGTGCTTTCTATGGACACTTACTTTCAGCTTTTTCCTTATCGTGGAATGTGAAACGGTTGTCACATATATGTTCTCAGATATGCCTATCCAACCTACACTGGAAAATGATAAAGTTAAAATATACTCACAGACTAAGTAACCTTAAATTTTTAATTAAGGATATAAAAGAAACAAATACAGATGAATAAATAACATTTAAGCTGCAACACAAACCAGACTTACCTGGTTCCTTGAACTTAAACAGAGGCTGCATATAAAGTATGTAAATATAAATGTATTTTCTTCACTAGCTATAACGATATTTAAAAAGAGGAACTGTAACAAATAAGAGTTATCTATCAAGAAAGGGAAAGGTGTGAACTAGCAGATTCAGTATTGGCAGCCAGAAGGCACTAATCAAAACATAAATTTCAGAAGATGATTATATTATGGAATATACCCTACAGAATGGCCTTTGCCAGTTGGGGGTTTCAATAATATAGATAGCAATGAGCTTAATTTCAGTTTCCAACTAGTGTAACAAAAAAGTGAGTTATTAAGGAACATTCCACTTACAGAGGTATAGGCTACACTGATATATTGGAAAATTATCCAGAGTAGTTTGTCCAGAGGCAATAAAAAAAGTAAACACTCCTTTATCCAGCAGCACTAGGGTACAAGGTGAATTTCCAATATAAGTCTCCAACAAAGGTGTGGTTATCTACTGTCAACTTGTGCTGTTGCCGAAATCACTGGAAAATGTATTTCCCTCAATGACAGAGTTCACTTACTGTAAACTGTCTTGAACTGGGGTGGGGGGCTCCATTATCCTGGGCAACAATTATAATACAGTGCTTCTCTGAGGAGAGCAAAGCACTGCTCCTACACTAACAAGAATCTGAGACCACTGTGCTTTGTCTTGACTTATTTATTCTAGCATCCCTCTCTGCAAACACACTATGTATCCAGGTAACCAAACCAAACTTTTAAAAGTCATTACATAAATTAAGGTTATTGGTTTAAGTCAAGTCTCAGATTATGGTTCTCCCCGAAAAAGTAAAGTGCACGAGATGAGTAATGATACAGATACATCAAACCTTTTCTGTTTACTTCTGAGTAAAAGACTATATGCCAATGGTTAAGCCTGTTGGTTATCAGATAAATGGGGTGCTTAACCCAAAACAATAAGCCAAATCCTACCTTTATAAAGGATTTGAGATGGAAACAAACATAAATTATATCAATTCTCTTAACATTCCTTTAAAGGTGAATCAGTAGTTTAAAGCCTTATTCCCAGCACTGGAAAGAAGTTTAAATAAAAACATTTATATGACAACGTGAATAATGGTGTGGGACTCAGTGCTGGCAAAGCCCATCAATTATTTTGAACCTTAGCTAAATTCTGTTCTGGAGTCAAAGTAGTTGAGTATCTATCTACTCTTCCAACAGAGGTGAGAGTTTGACAAAAAGCATACCAAATTAAGAGAAGTTAGCTTAATGGAGGAAAAGGGGTTTGCAGCCCTGAGTTAAGTCAACCAAGAAAGCCAAATGTAGTGATCAAAAGATTACTTCTTTTGTAATCCAGCTTCATACCTAACTAGTACAAAAGGGTTTCTCTATATGCCAACTGACTAGTTCCAACTTTTTAGCTTTAATTACTGCAAGAACAAGGCTTTTCGGCATCAAAACAAACTCCATTCCTCTCTACGTTGTGACACCATCATTTCAAAGGGACTGGTGTGAATTTAACTATTCTTGCCTCCTAATTTTTGAAAAATGAGTTTCAAGAATAAAATACTGATGAATTATTAAGGGCTTTTATTATTAGTGAACACAAAGTCTAAGAAAACAATTCTTGAGAACAGTTTAAGCTAATAGAAATTTAGTATATTTAAACACAACTATATTTAGTGAATCACTATTTGGATCCAGACCTTCAAATATGGGGCAAAGGAGGACTTCTGCACACCATGACAATAAGCCTGAAACAAAGCGAATTAAGCTGACAAAAGATCAAAATAGGAATCTGTTAAGTGTTGAAAGAATAGGTGAATAATTAAAGCAATGTGAGGGAAGACAAAGGGGGAAACCAGTCTCTCTGAATGGTAGGTAGGCATACACACAAATAGGAATATATCCCATTTGTAAAGTCTGCTCAGGCTAATGTCAACATTCAAATGACTTAAACAATTTAACACCTGGCTAATGATAAATCTTATGAATACTGAAACCTAAAAGCATTTTTTTCTACTAAAGTATCATTATGAAATATCAGTCATTTTAACCTCAAATATGTTAATAAACTCATACTTTACGATATTTAACATCAAACCAGGGTTTAACAAGCTTGATCTTATTCACTGTACCCTAATCTATATGTGGAGGGGTTTAAACTAGCTGATAGCAAAGATACCTCAAGTTCTAGAGTTCAATGAATATGATTCTACATCTAACACATTTTAAGCTAATTTTGTCTTCTGTTAAGTCTGCATCACCCAGGTACTTCTCAGCATCTCACTTAATAGTGTTTCTGACTTAAGAAAATTTTGTCCTGGCAAGTCTCCGTACTCACGTAATTTAACAACAATGGTCTTTATACATCTCTCAACCCAAACTCAGGAAATGCTGAGGTGTCACTACTAGATACCCATGTGGTCATTTTCAGCCATCATACCTCAGATGAAAATGACATATGGGAGTAAAGTATAAGAAAAGCAAGTAAGCTGAATACTGCCAAGTGGGAACATTGATGGGTCTAACCTTTTAATAGCTAATAATATAGCAGCTCTATAGGGTGGTAAAGAATGAGAATAACCCATAAGCTACATTAAATGATATCTAAAGAGAGGGGAAGATCCACACACCCAATATAGAGAAGACAGCAATGGACTGAGAAATGTAGAGGCTTAAAGGTTCTAATCACCCTGGACAAGACTTTCAAGCCCCCACTTAGCCTCAGGTTAGAGAACTGAGTAACAACCTTCTCACTCAATTCTTAAAATGTGAAGTTTCATGAAGTGATGGGCCCCCACTAATTACTTGACTTGCCATCCCCAAGAGCTAGGGCTTTGTGACCCAGGCCAGCCTCTTTGTGCAAACAGACAATGGATCCTTTGAGCCAAGTGAAAAAGAAGTCTTGGGAGATCAGATTTGCTGGATTTAGGCCAAAGGACACAGCACCATTGCTACTGCTTGATGCTTCTCTAACCAAAAGATAAGAGTGATAACCTCACCAGGAAAGAAAGGCTGGGGGAAAAGGCTGGCTCAGCTGTTTCAAAAGCCGCTTACTGTCTTGGGTGGGAGGACAAAATATTCTGAGATGAACAGGGAAATTAGAGGTACCACAAAGGAACCAATAATCATTCTGCATGTCAGGGTAATAAGCTCTTCTCATCAGATCTGGAGACTAAGATTGCCTGAGAGGACAAAAATCTAAGAACTGGAGATACCATTAACAGCAGATAAGACAGTATTTTTCTCCACCTTTGAACACGTGTCCTCGCTTCATTCTGACTCGTAGCTAACTACTGTAGTCAATCACTCTTAGCCAATTCTGAACCTCAGCTTGAGCCAATATGAAAACATATACATGTTAATGTCTAGGTATCAATGTCATCATTTAGGACCCATTTAGTTAGTATAAAGTATGACTATTTTGCTAGCTTTAAGACAGACCATGTACCATTCCATGAACAATCATTCTCTAATGAAATACAGACTGAAGAATGGTCCCCTGAAATGAAGTTGCAATCAGGAATTCACATACTTATTCAAGCACATTATCTATTACTGGGAAGCAATAAGAAGGGCAAGCTTCAGGGACTTCAGTCTAAATAAAATGTTTATACTGGCAAGAATAAACAATCCTAATGGATATGCTAATAATCATTCCTTATTTACAAACATTAGTACTCTAAACTTGACCTACTGCTATATACACATGAACAGACACAAGATGATGTATTTTATGTATCATACTAAGACAACAGCAGAGAGAAGGTAGGGGGATGCTAATATCCCAAACTATTAGGAGTCAACATTAAATAAAGGGGGGAAAAATCCACTTAAATACCACCTATTCATTTATGCTTTTAATAGAAGGGGTAAGAAGGCTGCTCAGCCAATATGTCAATCCTCACTGCTGAGTTACACAGCAAGGTGTTCAGAGTCAAAGAAAAATTTTAATTCCTACAACTTAATGTCAATTTGAAAAATCTAAGATCTTGTTATTTCCCCAAATATCAAAAGGCTGTCTCGAAGAACAGTTCCTCTGAAAAAAGAAGAGGACAAACCATGAATCCAGATTTGGACACCTGGTTTTCTGTTCTTCCCAACAGACTTTGTAACCTTGGACATGTCACAGCCTCAGCCTCCACACAAGAAAAGGATGGTCCTTATTTTTATTTGGCCCCCAGCTTATAAACTTTAAGAATGAAATTGAGAACAAAATTCCACAAGGCACTCTAATAAGCTCTCAGAAATCATACTATTCGTACATGAATTATTTTTTTCATCTACAGACTCAGTCCTTCAGAAAGCCCCCTGGAGATGGGAAGACATTATGCTACCTGACAATTTCTAAAATCAACTTTGAACTAATCAAATCCATCATAATGAAACTAGTTTATAAATACAAAAAAATTTAAAGTCATTAGGACTGAGTTTTGATTCAAAATCTACAAAAATATCTAAAAAAGTAATAATTTTCCCCTGAAGAATAAAGGTTAATAAAATCATGCAATTTAAAAAATATCAGATTACAGAAAAGTCAAAGTACATACACAATTAGTTTCCTTCATCTGTCATGGAGGAAAAAGGACAGGACACACAAAGAACTACCTAATCTGTAGAGCTCTTCTCAAACGTCTTTTGTACCCTGTCCTCATGAAGGGAATCACCCTGTGAAAAATGGATTCTCTTCCAGGAAGGCTGTAACTGGGTACGAAGCCAGGTCAAGATAGAGGGTCCTACAATTAACTCAAGTCCTGTAATCTCCTCTACAAGACACACTACGAAACCCGTAGAAGTTCTTGTTCATGGCACCTCTTGAACATGCTATCCATTCTACAGAAAAACTATACTGACAATCCACCAATGGCAAAGCATGCACTCTTGAGTTTTCTGTTACTGATGGTCAGTTTGCATCAAAATATCATCACACTCTAAGTCACTGTTAACTTTTTAAACAAAAATGTAGAGGCTGTGTACACATGGCAAGTCTTTTGAAAAAAAAGTAAATAGGGGAAAAAAGACTTATCAAGGATACAATATGATCTGAGAATTAAATTTTCACTCTAAAAACTCAACTGCAATATCTCACGATCTAATCAAGTAGGGCAACCCAGCACAAAGGCAGAGTTAATTCTTCTTCAAATTTCCGGACATATCTTCCAAATGGATCCACTTGGGAAGGTACCTGGCTAATAAAGAATATTACCAAATGACAAGAACAAAGCTAGAGAATTAATGAAGTATGAAAACATGAAAATTCCAAGTGAACACACGGCAAAAAGTCCAATATTTAGTATTAGACTATCACCTGTTCAGCTTAGTCGATCAAATGCTGCTTAGGGGATGCTAATTTCCAAACTATATAAATGATCTTAATCTGGTCAGTAAATCTGGGGATCATCAGCAATGTTTACTTCATTTTCTCCCCCATAATCATGTACAATATAATCATGACATACAACTTTATAAAGACAGACTTGGTGGTCGTTTGAGTATGGTTCACTTAAACTTCAAAGTAGGAAAAAAAGAAAAAAACAACTGGAACAAACTTTTTCCCAACATTCCATATACTGGTGGTACAAGAATAGCTACAGGAAAACATTCTTCTTCCTTTCTTTCAGCATTCAGAATCCATAGGCTCATGCTAACAAAACGAACCTGGCAAACGAACTTGCCCTGAAACAAGCACATGTTAGCGATTTTCAGTACATAATTGATTATACAATGTCTACAAATTCAGTTTTTTAAAATGGAAGTAGGGATTACAGAGAGAGAAAAAACTTTAAAATGAGCAAGTCTTCTACTTCAGGGTAAGAAGGCCTACCAAGATTTGGCAGTGCAGACAGTATATCTTATTCGTGATATCTTAGCATATATTCTGCTCTAAGTGCTCTATGAGAATAATTGGTCTCTCCTTACTTTGGTATGGAAAATTTTAAACCACATTTGCACAATTCAGTCTGTTAAACAAGTTTTACTTCATTTAGATTGAAATTTTACTTTCATCCATCTCTGGGAAAATAAAGTCTTGCAAATAGATGATTTTTCTGCTAAGTAAAATTTGGCTAAAACCTACAGCGTAAACAATGCCTGAGAGATGCAACAGTTACATAAGTGTTTTGTTTTTTGTTTTTTTGTTTTTTTCAAAGACCAGTATTTTCTTAAGTTAGTGTCTCATCATATCCTTAAAAGTTCATAAGGAGAAATAAACAAACATGAAAATTCCAAGTGAACACACAGCAAAAAGTCCAATATTTAGTATTAGTTTTACTTGTGGAGTTTCTTCCAACATTTGTAAACAAACAGCCTCCTCCTCCATCAGGTCTCTGAGACTCCTCTTGCTGAGGCTCTTACTTTTAAAGCCACAGAACCAATCTATGAACTTCCAGTACCGGCCTCCATCCTCTGTTTCCTTCTTTCTCTCTTTCTCACCCATGAGAGCTGCTTGCCCATTGGAATAAGCATCTACAGGTGTTTCTGCCTCTGAATGACCTAAAGAAGCCACTGGGTTGCCCTCCTCTCTGCAGGTCACCAACAGATTAACATCTTCAGGCTGCAGGCCCTTAATGCTATCTTCAGATTTCCCATTGGGAATGACGTGGTTGATGGCCTCACTATTCTCACTGCATCTCAGGATGCTCTTCTCTTGCATTTTGTACGGTTCTTCTTTTGGGGAGCAGCTCTCCTTTACCACCAGGCTCTTCTTAGACCAAAAGGTGGTGGTACGAATCTGTTCCTTCGTAGGAGGTGGCGTGAGAAGGCTAACAATTACAGTAATGAGTCCTGTGACCCAAAACAACGCTGTGGCCACGTACATGTAATGGATGTCTTTGATGAAGCCTGGCCTGTTATCAGGTTGGTCACATTCTGGGGCACGGTAGGCAAAGGCCAGTGTCAAACGGACTGCTCCAAGAACAAAGCCAGCCATTCCACCATAGAAAGCCCCTTGTTCATTGCAGCGCTTCCAGAAAATTGCCAGAAGGAATAGGGCTGCAACTGGGGGCGTCAGGTAATCTGCTACCTCCTGAATGTAAAGGTACATCTGGCCTCCTTGCATCTCCACGATGATGGGCACCCACGCAATGCTGATCACTACCATAAAAGCCACAAATATCCTCCCCACAATCATTAGCTCCCGGGAGCTTGCGCTCTTGCGGATGAGTTTGTACACATCGAGGGTGAATATGGTACTGGCACTGTTAAAGATAGAGTCCAAGTCACTCATCAGAGCTGCAATCATCACTGCCATCATTAAGCCCCGGAGGCCCACAGGAACCAGCTTCATCACCAGGCGTGGGTATGCAATATTAGAGCACCCAGCTCTGCTTCCACACACTTGCATGCAGTGCTCTGGGTTGATGCAAGCTATATCATCAGCAAACAGTATCCTGGAAATCATTCCTGGGACAACTATGATAAACATTGGCAGAAGCTTCAAGAAGCCAGCCATCAGAGTAGAGCCTTTGGCATGAGCAATGTTTTTAGCCGCTAGGACCCTCTGCACGATGACTTGGTCAGCACACCAGTACCACACCGAAGCTGGGGTCTGCCCAAGAATGAATCCAGGCCAAGGAACATCTTCATCTGTTGGATTCCGCAACATTTTCAGTGCATCTTTCTTAGGGTGGACATTACAAGAATTTGTGTTGGAAAGGTTGTACGTCAACAAGATGGAAGTGACATTGGGTGAGGCCAACATGTACCTTCTCTTAACTTCCTCAAACCCGCCAATCTCCATCATGCTAATAATCATAAGTGTGAGTGCCCCAACGATCATGAGCAGAGCCTGTAGAGTGTCTGTGTAGATCACTGCAACAAGGCCTCCGGTGACAGTCAGCAAAGCAGTCATGCCAATGAGGAGGATGACAGACACATAAAGGTTCCAACCCAAAGACTCCTGGATAAAGAGGGCACCCGAATACAGATCCACTGAGAGCTTGGTGAAGATATAGAGAATCAGAGACAACGCTGCAAAATAGACCTGAATCCTATGGCCACCAAATCGCTTGGACAAGTATTCAGGCATGGTGTATACCCCTGACCGGATGTAAATCGGGATGAAAACCCATCCCAGAAGTTGCAAAAGCAGTAAGGCATTGAATTCCCATGCGCCCACTGCAAATCCACTTGCAGCTCCAGATCCTGCCAGCCCAATGAAGTGCTCACTCCCAATATTGCTCACAAACAGAGAGGCACCAATTGCTACCCAGGTCATAGAGCGCCCCGCCAGGAAGTATCCACTTACAGTGCTTCTATTAGATTTCCACATGGCAAAAAAACCAATGCCCATGACCAGGATAAAATACAGGGCCACTATGGCAATGTCTGCTGTCTCCAGTACAGCCCTCATTTTGGTAACTCTGTGAATAAAAGTGTCCAATGACAGAAGTGTCCAACTTTTTATTTACTCATTAGTAACCCCAGCCAAGTCTGTAAACCGTACGTGAACTGGACTACACAGAGCAACACAGCAGGTCAAAGTCTTTGTCCTTTGGTTTGCTGTCTTGATGGTGGCGGTTGTGATAAACTTTGAAGGAGACAGTTTAAATTTTCCTCCGCTTCTTAATTGGGATTGAGAACTTAGCTCGTACTCTTAATCCACTCTCCACAAGACCATCAGCATTTACTCAGGTGCTGGAGGAGAAATTCTGAGTTGCAGCTAAGTCTAGTGAAGCCTACTGTACCAACCCTGCAAGGCAGCAAAGACAAAAGACAAAGATTGAATTAGAGGAGGGGCTCACCAAGCGATGAGGAAACTTTCAGTCTAGCAAAACGGCGCAACAAGACATTATAAAAAGAAAAAAAAAACTTTTAAAATATATGTACTTTAGTTCCACAGGAAAGAGCGATCCATACTATCACATCTGATACTTAAAGTCAGGAAGAATATTTATCATTTTGAAGTAAGAACAAAAATTAATTGACCTCCTAACTAAGTGGCTTAACTTCTCTGGCAACTAAGAAATGCCCACCATGACACTGCCCTTTCTTGTCTTAGTGTGGTAGTCTCAGATTGGAAAGGCACCAAGGTCTTAAAGCACCTTGGGGGCGGGGGGATGACACTAATTATTCATAATAAATAAGGACACCAAAATGAATCTTCAAATACTGTGAATCCTAAGAGTAATGTATTTTATAGCCAGTTAGGGTCCTGGACAGAACAGGCATTTACTAAGTATTATCATCTACCCCCAAACACAATACCAAGTACTGCTTAGTCTGTGCAGACTACTGTTACAAAATTTTCCTAAATTCCTACTACAAATGTACATCTGTGCTAGTCATCATACATTAACCTAGAAATTGTGACATGACTCCTGCCCTAAGGGGAAACAAAATGTTCCACACAAAAAAACTAGGAACATACAACTTATAAACAACCCTAAAATTTTACTCTGCTAGCTAGAAGGAAGACATTGAAAAAAAGACTTTTTTAATGTTACAGAAAGTCATTTCCTTCCCTTCCATTTCATCAGGCATTATTTCCAAGAGAACCTCTGAGATGATAAAGGCACTGACTCAAGATTTGATTTTGCTGAATAATTTTTCCTTTTAATGCTTTCTTGTTGAAGGGTATACAGAGCAAGGAGAGGAGGAAGAAATAGAAAATTTTTCTGGAAGACTGAAAAATAACGTCATTATTATTATTATTATATCTTCCAAACCTAAACAAAACAGACATCTATAAACCATTAGATAATAAATTATCTTCAATAAGTCAATCAGATCTTTTCAGTCCTGGATTAAGAAAATTATTGAAAAACAGACATTTAAATTTACCTAAAATTGAGTTAATGAATATGACGGGTTTTCTCCTGGAAAAAGAGACAAATTCTGAATCTTCAAAGTTATTATAATTGGAGCTGAAAGATCAATATGAAAAACATTTTGTTATTCAACCTAATGCCTTCCACATGTTAACTCCTAAAGTGATTTCTCCTTTTGAGATAAGGCAACCTCAGAGTGTAATGTTTTTTTATGCTTGACAAAGCAGATGCTTTTTGATGAATCTAGATACTTTCCTTTAAAAATCATTAAGTCCTATAAATGATACTAAAAGCCACCTCTTTTCCAAATAGACCACAGTACTAAACACTTAACAACAAACCTCTTACTGGTAAGGAAAAGAGCTGGAAATAATGCTTAAAGATAAACACGCTACCGAATTAGGTTATTAGGTCTAATTAATAATGCTGCCACGTAGAAATGTCTTAAACCCATCTTTATGCCTTTTTAAGCATAAAGCACTACAACAATTACACCAAAAAAAACCTGACTAAAAGCCAGTGTCAATAATGACTGGCATGAGTAGAACTGCCACACACAAAAACATAAAATACACTAAAAGTTGGTATTTGTATCACTTCATACTTGCCAAAACCTGAAGCTGCTTGTATTTCTATGACTACTTTCTCCGACCCCCAAATGTTCAAGTTATTAAAAAAAATACTTGGACATTATTTAGGAAGAATTACCTAAATTTTTAATAAAATCTAATCAGGTGACTAATAAATATTAATTATTTAAAAGGGTACCTGTAACATTTCAGTATAAGGGTGAGGTTCTCAATTACAAAGAAAACTGTAGTTGGCAATTAGGAGATCCCTGCCTCCAGCAGAGCTCCCACTGCCATCCAACATCCAAGCCATGCCCTTGCCATTTTGTTCCAACTTACACACAGATAAGCCTAGCTCACTGGTCAGAATGGCCATTTCAAGTGTCTCTCTTCTCAACAGCAATACTTGACTATCTGTCTCCTCAAGAAGGGACAAACACCCAGAGTGTTTTTATTTTTGTTTGGAGGGAAGGTGGAAGCGGGTATGTGTTGTAGTGGCTGCTGCAGCAGCCTATTTGTTCAAAGAACAGAGTGCTCAGAAACAAAACAAGCCCTTCCTTCTCCGATCACTAGGAAGCACTGCTAAAATAAACAACACTGCTTCCCATTGTCAAATATGATGCAAGTAAGATATCTAAGCCATATTCTGCTCCCTGATGAATGCTTACACTGGTCTAACCCCTAACTTCCCTAGAACAGCTGGCAGGTACGCTAGAGAGAAAAAATGTTGGGCCCACAAGAGAGGCAGCAGGACGACGCCAAACACTAGCTCAAGGCCGAGTTCTCAACTCTTTCTGCCCCCTCAGATCCTTCAAAAGCCACTGCCAACAGTCCCCATCTCACTGGATACCATATCAGTCTGTGGACAGATTTAAGATTTTTCCAACTTAAACAAAAAACATCCAGAGACCAGCACCTAGTAAAGACTGGAAAAGGAAACAAAAACATACCAAATTAGTTTACAGAAAGATATGAAATACTATAATACAATGCAGCCAAATTTCACATTCTAGTCATTAAGAGAGACTGTCACAGGCTTTCAGGAGATAAACCGTGCAATGCTTAAAAAATGGTTCCAAATAAAATATACAAGTTTTGCATATTTTTTCTCACTCTTTTAAAGAAGTAAACATTTCTACAACAGAAATATAACAAACACTATCCAGAGTTCCTTTATTGTTAGAAAGAATATACATTGAAAAATTTTTTCTCCAGCTAAAACGAAATTTTTTAATTTATGTTTTTATATTTCTAGGACTAAGCTGGTTTACGGTTCAGATAAATCCCGTAAGTGAGAAAGGTGGGACAGGTAATAAAGTAGGTATAGTAATGATAAGTATGTGGGTTGGCTCCTTGGTAGTGCATTTTTAAGAAAATGATTATTTCTATAATGAGAGTAATAGGCGTAGAATGTATAAAGAAACGGTCCCCTAGTTATGATGGCCAGTGTAAGAAATTTAGCTGATTTCAATCAAACACAAGGGTGTTGTGAAACTGAGAGACTCTCCCCAACAGAAGGGGGCTTCTGTCTCAGAAAGCAGTGTTTTGTTGATAGTTCCGCACAAAATTAAAATACAATCTTGGTACATGAAAGTACTATTTACTTGGATGAATTAAATTACAGTTAAAGAATTAATCCAAATAAAGAAGTGTACACAAATATTTGCTGTGTTTGAACTAGAAAGAGTAAAATAGGTAAGACCAAATTTAAATCGGCTATTAAACCCCTTCAGGTAATATAATCAAAACATAATTAGTTATGACCAAACCTAACATCTCTCTTCTATTATCTAGGAAAAACATATAGTTTATCTTCCAAACTAGGAAGCTATTCTGGGACATTCTGTAAAATCCAGGATGTATGGTCACTCTTAAAAGAAAGTCATCTGCCATAAAAACCAAACAAAGAACAAGAAAAACAAACCTTAAAGCCATCAGGGCTGCAAGTCATAATAAACTCAATGAGGCTAGTGAACTACCAAAGAGTAGAACAAAGTGACCCTCAAAGTGACCAAACCACCTTTTTAGCTTTGGGGTCGATTTAAAAACCAAACATTCAAAAGGACAATCTGAATAGGCAGAGCCCACTACTGTCAACAGCAGGCTTGCCAAGTCTTGCTCATTTTGATCCAATGGAAAATATTCCCTTTACTAACTAGTAATTTAAGGGGTACAGAATACACCGACACATCTGAAAACTTACATGTGTAGGTGGCATGGTCAAGCAAGCAGACAAGCTTTGAAGGGCTGGGGGTCCAAGCTCTGTCACTTCCTAACTGCAGGATCTTAGGCAAGTAACAATCTCTATGAGCCTCAACTGTCTCATCTGTAAAATGAAAGCACCACGCAGCTCCTAATGGTTTAATAAGGAATAAGTAACACCTAGAAAGTGTGTTGCCCAGTGCCACAGGCAGGTGCTCAGTAAACGTCACTTCACTGTCTACAACTTGCATAGACTAGAAGTGGTGATATCGGCGCCTTTCAAATTAAACTGTCAACGATACCCCAGGTGTTTTAAAAGCCTCATAAAAGTTTATAGATAAAAAGAACTAAATAAAATAATGTATTAAATATGCAGTTCTCTCACAAATATTTTAAACAGGCTCCCAACCACCTCAACTATTAGCTCCTATCTACATCACTTCATTCAAGTTAAATACAAAAAAACTCACTAAATTTATATAAAATTCTACTTATGGACTTTTCAGACACATTTTCACTTTTGTTATCTTGATTCAAAGTCCAGCAAAGCAAACTCCTCTAGCGGAATAGGTTACTGGCGCTTGGTATATACATACTCATAACAGGGCCTTCCTCAACCCCTGCTTAACTTTAAAATTGTAGAGCTTGGCTATGATAGCAGTTTATCAGTGACACCAAAAGGAAAATGAGTGTTTCTAATACAACAGATATGAATTCCAGCCAATTTTAAATTACAAGTGGAGCTGAAGACATGTAATCATATAATAGTCCCTAAAACATTTAAGGAGCTTGCCCTTAAATTTCTTTGGCAAAACATTTCTACTATACCTACAATCTTGCTATTCAAGTTTTTGGAAGTATGTAAGAAATGTATGAAACCGTGATTGAACTCAAATGGCATTCAAACTATATTCTGAGGGTTCCTAGATGGGACATGGGGGTGTCCCATCACAGGGGTGGGAGGTGAGGCAGAGTGAACAGGGATCTAAGCCCCCCTCCAGCAACCCTCTACCAACCAGAACGGCTCTACTTTTAGCAAATTATTGGGGGTGGGGGGTTAGGAGGGATGGCTTCCCATGTAAGTAAGCCATTTCTTCAAATAAAATCTTATTCACCTAGAAAAGTTCATAAATCACCAGATTTATCATTTCATCCATATACACACATCCCCCAAGATACAGTCATTTTAATTTGCTTCTAAGAATGTAGAAGTATGGCTCACCAGGGGTCTTTTTGGTTTTATTTTTCGAAAGCAGTCTCAGCAATGAAGACCTTTTGGGTATGGGGGTAAATTTGAAACTACCACTGGTTTCAATATTTATGTGGATGATACCAGAACATGTGTATGGAGCAAACTCCAATAACCTATATTTTTTGAGAGAAATTAAAATGTAAAGTAACGGAGTAGAAGAGCCTATGATACCATATCATGTAATCCCAATGACTAAGCATTTTGTGTTAACTTTTTATGGGAAGAATTCAAGAGGCTCAGCACTATTTGCTTGCAAACGACTAGTTATCATAAATGAGTTATAAATAATGGAGATAAAAAATAACTACCTGGCACTAAGTCCTAACACCTTGTAGGTACTGTGCCTAGAGTGCTGTATGCATTACTTTAATCCTCACAACAATTATGGGATAAGTACAATTATTATGATCATTTTACACACAAAACTGAAACCAATGAAGTAGTATAACACCCCAGGATACAGTTATTTGTGTTTACATCTGGATTTGCACTCCCATCTAGGTTTAAATTGCTTCTTCCCTTAATCACTATGCAATACTATCTTTCATGAAGAGGACATTTATTAATAGAAACAAACAATATTAATAAAAGATCATTCAATATCACCCATGTTTAAAAATTTTGAGTTTGCAGAGAAAACAACTGAGATGTATATATAACAAATGTTAACGAAAGTGACTGCAAAGAGTGTACAGGATAAAATCCAACTGAAGTATTTATGTATGATCATTTGTGATGAATATATGTATGAAGAAAACGAAGAGATTCAAAATAAAAAGTAGTCCCAGGCACAGGCTTCTCATATAAGTAAAAACACACAGAGCAGGAAATTCGGCTAGAGGATCAAGGCTCAACCAGCTTCTCACTCTCCAAGTCCAAGGCTTTTGCCTCCATTCTCTTTTTCAGTGTTAGAATTAAAAAATTAAGTCTCAAAGTCTATTCTACATCTGACCTTGTTACCACAGGCCATATGAATCTCAGCCTTCCTTCATCTGCTAACTCTTACATCCTTAAGACATTAGGTTAAAAGAACTGGCTATATGATCTATAGATATGAGTTCTCATAGCAAAATCTATGAACCACTGTCCTTACTGAATGAAGAGTTTGTAACCACCTACCCTTTTCCTTGGGAGTATGAATAATTCGGCTCACCCCCTTAAAGCTGTTCCACTCTCAATCTTCCTCACCTCAGAAAATGGCGACTCCATCCTTACTATTGCTCAAGCCAAAAATGATCAGTCATCCCTGAAGGTTTGCTCACTTTCTCTCTCAACCCACTCATAATCAATCCATTAGCAAAATCTGTTAGCTTTCTCTCAAAAACTATATCCAGAATCAGACCACTCAGAATCTCAACCACTAGCACCCTGCCCCAAATCACCATTCCATCTCATCCAGTTAACTGCCCTAGCCTCTTAACCTGTCTCCAAGCTCTGGCCCTTGGTCCACTACAGGGCATTAACACAGCAAGCAGTCACCTCTTCACTCACAATGCACAATGTACCAAACATGCCTCGGGACCTTGACACTAGCTGTTCCCTATGCAGGACACACTCTGCACCCCCAGATTTTCACAAGACTTACTCTCCTCTCATTGTCTTTGCTTAAAAGTAACTTCCTAACCATCTCACTCTCTCCTTATCCTGCTTTATTTTTTTCCACAGGACTCAACACCTTCTAACATACTATACAACTTCCTCATATTTACTGTCACCTCACTACCAAAATGTAAATTCCATGAGGGTAGAGATCCTAGTCTCTGATGCTCACTGATGTGGGTCTGTGTCTAGAACACTATCTTGCACACTGCAGGTGCTCAAATGTTTAAATAAATGAATCAAATATTAATGACTAAACACCTGATCAAGAGTGTTAAACTGGGCTTCCCTGGTGGCGCAGTGGTTGAGAGTCCACCTGCTGATGCAGGGGACACGGGTTCGTGCCCCGGTCCGGGAGGATCCCATGTGCCGTGGAGAGGCTAGGCCCGTGAGCCACGGCCGCTGAGCGTGCGCGTCCGGAGCCTGTGCTCCGCAACGGGAGAGGCCACAACAGTGAGAGGCCCGCGTACCGAAAAAAAAAAAAAAAAGAGTGTTAAACTTCCAACACTCTATACAATTATCAACAGTGGGGTTTTTTTAAAGCAGAAAGAGAAGGCAGATTAAAAGGCCAAGAAGAAGTAAAGCATTTCCTCCCCTACCAAAGTGATTTGCAATCTGAAACAGCTCTAGTTGAGTGTAGAATGACAACAAGACAAATCAGGCTAGGCAAGCATGCTGCCCTTTGTTCAGATAAAAATCTCAAAGGGCCGTGACATAGTAAAAACCTGTACCTGGAGCCACCATCTCATCCTACCTACCTACCTACTTCCCTTCATTGTACTAACTCCATTTCAGAACGTGTTCCAGATTTTACCTCTTCAATTGTCAACATCCATTTCACAGTGTGCAGTGATATATGCTTCGTGTATTATGGTTGTTTCCATGCAGTCAAAAAGGACAGCCTGGTGTGGGCAAGCAGCACTTCCCTCAGCTCACTCTATACAAATTCAAGCATCCTGCTGATGTCAACGCATGAAGAACCTCTCCCATCTCTGCCTCTCCATTACACTTGAAGAATTAAATGAAAAAGTTACTTTAATAACTAGCGCTTACCCCAACATGAGTGCCAGGCACCATTTTTAAGCTACATGTACCGGACCATTTAATCCTCACAAAATCCCCAAGAGGTAGGCATAATTACCCCCAAATTTACATATGAGAAAATTGAGGACATATTACAGAATTACTAAGGAAGTCCAGAACCATCCTCTGTAAAGATGAAGAATGTATCCTTTTACAACTCTCCCCAGGAAGGTATACATAAAAAAGTGGAAATAAACACAGGTCAGAAAAAAATCTGCTCACTGATACAGAAGGAATGATGCAATCTGAGAATCACCTTTCGTAATCCCTAATGAAGTAATGTCCCTAGGCAATGATTACAATGGATGCTAGAACCCTTAGGTGAAAGAAAGTTTGATGGGAACTTCAGAATGGATGCATGAAGCTGTCAACACCTACACCCATCAAGAATTAATCTTATTTCTAAAGGCAGACATGAATGCTATACCCAGGAACACTTGCAAAAACATCAAGTAAATACAACCTGTGGATGCCTGGATTCAGATTCAAGCAAATCAACTGTAGAGAAGCAACTGAGACAATTCAGGGCATCTGAATATGGATATTACATGTTAAGGAATTGTAGTGAGGTAGCATAAAGGCACTGTGGTTTTTTGCTTTTGTTTTTTAAGCCCTTACCTTTTAGATACATGATAAATATTTATAGGAGAAATTTTATATCTGCATTTGCTTTAAAGTACTCCAGCAATAACTGATTCTGAATCATCAATAAATGCTAAATCCAGTGGAAGACTGCTGGAGAAAAGAATATTGAGTCTCAATCAAGTTTGTCACTCCATAAATCACTTAATAATTACTAAAGAAAAAAGGTACATTTATAATGGAACAATCTGGTGGATATCACCTAAACCAAATAATTGTTTGACATCCCCAACAGTGGGACAAACTGACATCCCTATGTAACATTCCTGCCAACAATGTTTAACCTAATCTCTAATCATGAGAAAGCAGCTAGACAAATTCAAATTGAGGGATTCTCCAGACCAAAGGGCCTGGACACTTCAAAGTGACACTGTCCTTAATGACAAAGGCTTGAGAACTGCTCTAGATCAAAAAGACTAAACAACCACCAAATACATGAGCCTTGACTGAATAACGGACTGAAGAACTAAAGGATAACACTGGAATAACAAGGTAAATTAGAACACAAATTGAACATTCTATAACTGTATTGTACTGATGTCAAATCTGAGCGTAATGGTCATGCTATGGTTAGGAAGAAAGTCCTTATTCCTAAGAAAGGCATGTCAACAATGCCTGCAGCTCTCAAATGATAAAAAAAGAGCCAATATGGCAAATTAGTGATCTAGGTGAAAAGCATACAGGTGTTAACTGAATGGTTCTTATACTGGTAACTCTTCTAAAGGTTTAAAATTTTAAGATAAATATAAAATACTCCAGCAAAAAAAATAAATAAATAAAGGGAAGGGGTGGTGGAGATAAAGCAAGAGTGGTAAATGGTGATAACTGCTGAAACTGGGTGATGCGTACAATACGGAGATTCGTTAAACGAGTCACCTTTACGTATGCTCGAGTCCACATCTTAATTCTCACTTCTATAAAATGGGAAAAACATGTACCTCAAGCCAACTTCATCAAGATAGATTACTAGATAAAAGTCCTGTGGGAAAAAAGTAAGCATTAAACTGTCATATGCTGTCAATTCTTTCAGGAAAGCTTGAAGACGACCTATAAAATAAAAGCCTGCTGAATTGAATGCCATGTTAATATAACCACTCCAAGACCTCTGCACTCATCCCTGCTCTTCTGCCCCCAGTTAATGGCCATGGCTCGCTCCCTCACTTTAGTCTCAGCGTTGCCTGAGCACTATAACGAAAATATAAGGCCACATTTGTCCCCTTATCCTGCTGTTTCTCTTCACAGCATTTGCTAGTTTGTCTCCCTCATTAGAATGTAAGCCCTATGAAAGCTGGAACTTTGTCCTACAGTTTAACCCTCTATTCCCCAAACACATGGTAGCACTGGCACCTACTAGGCACTCAAAACAGGTATCCTTCAGTCTAAAGGGACTTTATAGCTCTAATACCACTACAGTGTACACTGTTTTCTACAGATGCAGTGATCAAAAGTATAGCTTCTAGTTTGAGACTGCCTTTAGGATCCTGACTTGGCCCCTTACTGAGCTGTGTGGTCCCGGGTACCTTTCTGCTTCAGTTTTTTCATGTGAAAAATGGAGATCACACTATCTAACCCTTAAGATGGCTGAATATTCAAGGGGTGGAGGGAATACACACACACACATATATGTAACACACACACACACACACCCTGCTTAAACCAGCCACTAAGAATTAGGTATTACAAACCATAAGATTTACAGATCTCGGACATCCAACCAGGTCAACTTGGTGGTTTACCGTCATGTTTTCTGTTCTCATCCTACTTGGCTCCAATTTTATGTTCCTAGAAGAACAGAGGCCAAGAAGTTTCTCATTTTTCCATGAGACTGAGGCCAGAAAATGTAAACACAAGAGTCTTCCTGGTAGACCAGATTCTAATTCTCCCAGGAGGCCAAGTCATAAAATAGAAGATCCTGAAATTGGGATGTTTCCTCAGGCAGATACTTTTGGTTAGAAAATTTTAAAACCTTCTCATCTTCTCCAAGGTTTAGGGAATACAGAATTTTCAAGAAGTAAACAATAGGACCATGAACAGGATAACTTTAACAGAATCTGGAAGGACTGGAAGAAATTATGCCCTGAACTGAACCTAAGAAGTGAACATAAAACTGAGGCATGGTTTTGTACATTACAAATGCAGCTGGATTTTTCTCTTACATTTCAAAGATAGAACTAGTAGACTGGTATACAAATCCAGAAAAATAAGATCAGAAGTGCTTTCCTTGGATGCCAGAAGGTAGGAGATGTTGAAATTATAAGTAGCTTCCAATTATTTCATCCTAATCACATAAAATATTTAATAAAGGAAATGATATTAGAAGGAATTTCTTTTCTTCACTTTAATCTCCTTAAACTGAATTTGCACAAAATCCTGGCCCTCAGTCTATACATAAGAACGGCATTCCTGAGACCAATCATGCTACTAGAGTCTGGTGGACTAAAGATCATCCCTGATGGAAACTCAGTGTCTAAGGTTTTCAAGGTAGTATACTTCACAAAACTGCTTTCTCATGTAACTGCCAACAAAACAGAAGGCAAGCAGTATACCAGCACAAAAGAATGACAATCAAAACAACCTACTACTGGGTCATATATTTACTTAATAATGGTTGAAGCAATTTTTTTAAAAGGACACTTAGTTAAGTACACCTTCCCTGCAACATACGCCTGGCAAAGACCTTACCCCAAAATTTCGCTTTTTATTCAGCAGCAGAAACTCACCTTGAATCCGAATCAAAACCAGTACTGAACAATGTCTTATATTCATAATTTGCACACAGGACACCTGAGCAACTGAAAACAGGACACGTATCTGGGACTTTGGTCCTCCATCCTTCTAATACAAGCAAAGACTACACATGGGTTCCCACACGAGGACCTTCCCAGCACCTGAAATCCAAGCTCAGGTATGACCTGACCACCACACAATGTGCTCTCATACTGAAGTACATCCACAGCAATCTGGCTGTTATAGCTGCACGTGGGTTTCTACACCTGACAAAATTAAAGCATTATAATAGGCAAGGTAGGTGTCAAGGAGACACTGAAGTCTAAACAAAGACAAAACCAGGAAATTTTTTTTTTTTTTTTTGGCCACGCCACATGGCTTGTGGGATCTTACTTAGTTCCCCGACCAGCGATCGAGCCCTCGCCCTCAGCAGTGAAAGCACGGAGTCCTAACCACTGGACTGCCAGGGAATTCAGAACCAGGAATTCTTGATGCTAGGACAGAAGCAGGGAAATGCCACTTTATGAGCACTGAGAGCTCCAGGTCGAGGTTTTAAGTCCCTACCTTCACTTGCAATTCCATTTTTAAGCTCTCATCCACATCAACCTCTACTGAAATGTTCCCAAAGTGGGTAAGGATTCCCTTAACTAGGGCACTGTAATCATAATAAAAATGATGGGGGAGAGGGATGGGAACAAATCAACTGTATCCTGGACGTGAAAGGTAGGGAAGAACTAACTGGACCTGAGTTTATTTGCACTTTTGCTGTTATGTATCTGGAGTGAGAGTGGGGAAGTAATAAAGACAAGAAGGGCAAGTCAGTCAAGGTAATGACTTGGCTTCCATTCCATGGAAACATGAAGCCTGGCCAAAAATTATAATATTGTATCATCCTCTTGTTCTATCCTCTGACTAGAAGAGCACCTAATTTTTTTCATAGTAATCCTATATTCCAAGGATCATGTGTCATATAAGCTAATGTGAATTTCTTAGATATACCATGAGCAAAAAAATGTCATTTTCTAGATAAAGCAGTCTTTTCCAGGAAGCAGTATTTCAAACCTGGAAGGCTTTAGTACAGTGGGTGTAAACCATGCTTAAAATAAGCAATCACCCAGACATCTAAAGAAAAAGTGGACTATGGATACCAATTTCTGACAGTTCACACTAAGTCAACGCCTCAGTCTTTGTACAGCTCTCTGAAGTCTGTACGTACACCTAGCCTAAATGGGCATACATAATCCACGAGTCCAGAACTAGAAACTGATACTACTTTTAAGACATGAACATGTCTGCCATTTACTAATTATTAGTCCTGCTGTAAATCAATGACCAATTAACAAGATGGGTTCTGTCAATGTGTGAGCAGCAATTTTTGTAACCTAAATGCTAAAAGAGTTCTAAAGGCAATTAAGGATGTCTTTAAAGAACATCTCAAGCCCATCATCTAAATCAGAAATTACAAGATGGCAGCCATACCTGACCAACAGATACATTTCCTTAGGTCCATGGTACTTAAATATTTTTACTTGCGACATCTTAAAAATCAGACTTCCTGTAAAATCTGGATTTCTGGCTAAGAATAGGATAGAAAAGGACAAGCTGGCAAAACCTGGCCCACACTCCCCATGGCAATAATAGACTGTAGTGGTAAGCACCAGCACCACAAGCATGTGTGCACCCACACACACGTACACACACACACACACACACCTACCTTCCCCCCACCCCTAGCAGCTCTACCATTTTACCACGGGCCCACCTAACTCCTTTCAGTCTTGAATTACAACACTCCAAACTATGACAAAATAAGGCTGATTCATACTTACCCAGTTTTTAAAACACCGTAGTCAAAAGAATTCAACATGTAACCTTTCTATTTCTTAGGCAACTTTGTTAAACAGCTTTCATTAACTCATGAATATATTTACACTTCACATTGCCATCTCCAAACACAATGAAAATGATTTCAAAGTTAGCAGCATTACTATTCGATCTTCTTGGTCACATTCTTGTTTCTTCATCCACTATTATACACTCACACACACACATATTTCTCAACCCTGCTTCATACAGCACCCAATACCCTACATCACCCAATATTTCATTATGCAGCTTCAGAGTAAAATAATCAGGTAGAAAAAAAGTCACAAATTAAGTCTGAAACAAAGTTGGACTTAAAAAACTGACAGTTAAGTACACATCAGTACAATATGTGCATTCTCTTGTAAATGGTCTTATTTTTGACTTGGATCACAGGTACCCCTGGCTTATAAGACAATTATTTAAAAATCAATCAAGCGTGTTAATGATGTTAACATGTTAATGTTAATGAAACATATACATTCCAGCAACATATGCTATGATGTTTAAAAAATAAAATAATAGTGTTGTATTTTAATTCCTTTATAAGAAAAAATCTGTACCAATAGGAGTGGAAAAAAATCTCTCAAAATCAACAATTAAAAGGAAAGATGTAGTTTTATAATACATTGCTCCATCAAAAATGAAAAGTAAAATACTAACTGAAGATATCACGTAGCAGCAATCAATTAGGCTATGATCTATCTGCTCCATGTGTTGATTTTACTGAAAAAGGGTCATCCCTAAAGATTTAGCAATTGGCAATTAGCAATCAAACATTTACTGAAGATTAAAATACTAAGTTTTCCCTCCACCTGCCTCAAATCACCTGGACACTTAGTCTATCTAAAGTAATTCTTTTCTTTAGATTGTTTCCTGTTCTTCACTTTTCCCAACCTTCTCACTTAAAGAACACATTAAACCTAAGTACTAGTTATACAAGGTCAGATGAGAGAGATGAACACAAAGCCCACTTGCAAACAGTTTAGTTGTTGATGAGGAACCCCACTGCACTCAGACTGGGAAAGGCCAGTAGCTACTGAATAAATGCTGCACATCTGTCTGACAGAGGCCGTTCCAAGCAGTGGAGTTCATTCATGGGCTCCCTCACACACACATTCTACGTTTCACGGATGCAGAAGCTAGACCTTGCTTAATTAGCATGCAAGCTATGATGCAGTATGGCTCATGTTCACTAATACAAAAATTTCTGAGCAAGTACTATATTCCAGGTTTGATTCAGTCTTGGATTCTGGTAGCTTACACATAACAAAATTTATCTTTTGGAGTCTCTTCATTAAGAAAGTGGGAATAATGGAAAACTACACAATAAAGTTTGAAAACTTGCCTGAGATCACAAAGCTACTTTAATGACATACTGAACACCTACTACCTCTAAGGTCGTGTTACCATTTTATCTTCAAAGACTCTCCAACTGAGGGATCACTCCCATCTTACAGACAGAAATGAGGATCCAAGAGGGTTAAGACTCCTAGGATGTAGGTGCCAGGAACCAAAACCAGGTTCATTGTTTCTAAAGCTCTTCCTGCTGTCCCAGAGTCAGTTCTTTGTTTATTCCAACATAACACAACCAGGATCTTCATTTCGGATCTTAATTTCTTCCATTCATTTAGAAAACAAAAATCGGAGCACTTACTGAAGCAAAAGCCTTTGTATCCAAAACAATCATATACAAAAGTAGTAAGTAAAAAAGGGATTAAGGCTAAAATAGGAAATCAAAAAATCATACATACATAACATTTTATCTACATTTAACACATAAACATATTTGCCAATCTTAATATGGGGTCAAGCACTTGGAGAATGGGATTGATGATGTGGAGCTCCTTGCTGACCGAAGTTCCTGCTGCTTGATCTAAACTGTATCTATAAATGCGTCATCTACAATCTCCATTCCAGTTTCATTAAAGTGGAAAGCTTTAGGAAATCTTGTAAAGCAGTCTACATACAGAATCATCCTGGGTTATTGCTATTCTTCCTCCAAAACTTTGTTATTACAGCCATATCTAATTCTACAGCCGTTATTTTAGTGACTCACCTTTATCAAGTTTTTCCAAAGAATCCAACTTGGTTTTCAGGAAAAAAAAAAAGTTTGCATTCATTTCATCAGTTTACATATTTAAATTATTATAAAAGCAAGATTACCTGCCATGAAAGAGTCTTGGAAACCAACACAACTTCTGATAAGCATACAACTCTCTCAGTGCAAAGTGCACTGACTTGAAAGCAACTTACTAGCACAAGAGGTCAGCATGCTATCTCACATTCAAGAACTGTTTTAGACAGATAGAAGAGGAATCCCCATAAGGCAGCTAAGTGAACATCAACCTTGTGTGCAAAGCAGAGCAGAGGACAGAAATGAAACAGACCTGACCCTCAAGAACATGTAACCTACCAAAGGAGATATGAAACATTCACCAATTAACTGTAATACTAAGTAGAAAGTGGTCCATGTGATAAGACACAGAAACACACCATGCGAGTCCAAAGGAAATATTATACTCGTAACAGTGCAGGTCCTCAATATTTGTTTCATGTACCACATGAGTTAAAATGAACTTGAAGCATGTTTTCATGGAGATGATGGGGTAATACAGGAGGGCATTCCAAGAAAAGCAGTGTGACACAGGCACCGAAGGAAATAAAAGGGAATGGTATTTATAGGGATCTACAGCAATTCTCTTTACTTAGTACTATACGAAATGGAGAATGAAAGAAATTGAGAGATGAGGTTAAAAAAAAAGACTGGAGTCATATCACAGGTGGCCTTGGATGCCAGACTTCATTAGGAATATCTTTGAAAAAGAGCACATTTCTGAATGTGCTGTAATTTGGCAATGGTGTTGACACAATCAACTGATATGGGACGGTAATGATGTAATCAAAAAGGCATCATTATACAATGCTTTGTGACAATGGTTTGTGTTATTTCCTTAAAAATGCATCCCAATTTAATTCTTTCAAAGTATCTCAAGAACTTATATTCTTGCACTCCAAAAAGCATATTTACAGGGATTGATTATCCTCCCCCCCAGCAATATGTTAGAGAGACCACCTAAGAAACTGCAAGAATCCAAGCAAGAAACATAAGTAGTTCAGCTAGGGCAGAGAAGAGACTATATGGGATTGAGACTGAAGGAACAAAGAGTTGGATTGGTTCAGCCACATGTGATAGAAAACAGAAGCTACAAACAGAAATAAGCTGGACAAGTTTTGGGGTAGGCAACTCATTAAGTTTGAACCACATTGAGTTTGCAGACCCAAGGGAACATCCAGGAGGCTATAACCAGCACAGAAGAGTACAAAATGCCAGAGTTCTTGACTTGTTACCAAAAAAAAGGCAAACCATATGAAGGTCAAACCACATGAAGGCAAAGGTACAGTATATAAAGAGGAGGGAAAGGAAGGAATCAAAGCAGAAATCTCAGAAAACAGCACCGTAAGAAGCTAAGAGAAATGGTGAACCTAGGAAATCATGTGTCTGTAAATAAGGGATCAGCAATTTTTTTGTAAAGGACCAGATAATAAATATAAACAAATGAATAGGGTTATGTTCCAAAACACCTGCATTTATGGACTCTGATATTTGAACTTCATATAACTTTCATAAAATACTCTTAATTTTTTCCCAACTATTTAAAAATGTAAAATCCTTCCTTAAGCTCACAGACCATACAAATGCAGGTGACAGGTTGGATTTGGCCTGTGAACCATATAGTTTGCCAACTCCTGCTCTAAGTACAACAGGGATAACAGGACTGGATTAACTGTCTTTTTCCGAACTTCTGAGGGTAGTTTTTCCTTTAGATAAATTGAGAACTTACCAAATATTCATTAAATTTGAATGATTTCTTTAAATCTGACTAATTCCTTAAATTTGATTCCCCTAAGAGATTAACTACATGTGTTGGTAACATTCCTTGTTGGTTCAGAACTGCCTTCCACTAAAAAGATGTATTCCTCATCTTGAACAGACAAATTCTACCTGAACTACAAATACAGTGAAGGTACTAGATGAAAAACATTACTTCAGGATTTCCTCAATGCTTTCACACTTAGTTTTCTTTAAAGTGATTTTATAATCTAAAGGTGAGAAGATTCAATAGCAGTCTGCATCTGAAACATGTAGATTCTAAAAAGCAACAAACAGCTGTACTGAATGTGTGAGTCACGAATAACCAAAGAATTTAGTGCAGAATGTCAAACTTCTGACAAGCAGTCTTCATACATACAAACCATGTCTGGTGAGGAAGGTTTCCTTACCCCCAAGCCACTCCTTGTAAGCTCAGGGGCAGGAACAGGACTCCTTCTTCAATCACTTGCTGCGGCAATAAGCTGTAACCCAAGAAAACTTTAGTACCAAGTGAAAGTACAACATTGCCCACAAGGCTCAAGTCTTTCGTTACTGGATAACTATTTTAAGTTGCCTGATTTCAAGTAGACAAAACACAAAGGGTGATTATTAAAGATACAAGCTAAGCTGTTAAGGGAGGGCTCACAGAAGGAAAAAGAGACTAACTTAGCCATCTGACAACTAGAACAAATATGTTTCCATTTGAACTTCTGTCTGCCACCAACTGACAACAAAAGTATCACTAGGTCCTAGTTATCAAATGTTGCCAAGCAAGCCAAGCTACAATGACCTAAGGTTGGCCAGTTCCATACTTGAGTTCATTATTAGACCCTATGCCTACAAAAAGTATCTAAAATGCAAACATTTTGTAGCAATTACTTTCACAAGATCCTAAACTTGGGACACAACTCTAGAGTACACAACTTTTGCCAGGTTTTCTAACCCAAAAGGCTTGACTGAGGAGAAACAGAAGAGACTCTTCACTGCATTATCAGAAAACCTACTGCTTTGCACAGTTTTAGGAATATCACTACACTCCTATTTCTAAACTTATAAACCCAAGTCATAAATTAAACTCAGTACATCGTAAAACTCTTTACTTGCAAAGAACTAATTCAATGTTATCGTAAAATTTAAAATATAATCTGATTTTCAATGAAATTAAAAATGAAGGATATTAAACATAAAATAACTTGTGAAATCTCTTTTAATGAAAAAGAATTTGATTTCCAAAGTAGCTATCTACTTTTATTCTTATTTGAAAAATTATGCCAGAGGATATATAAATGCTATTTTATTGTACATACCTATATTCATTTAGAATTAAACTAATTATTATTTAAACCATTAACCTTTAATTCTTCATGTAAAAATTCCTAAGTAGCAATGAGAAGACTTCAGGAAAAAATATTTTCCCAGGGCTTTCACAACTCTAAATATGCCAACTGTGATCATCCTCTGGGCAAACGTGCTAAGACATGATAAAGTGTTCCTAAACTAAGTAACCAAAATATATAAATGTCCTGCATAGATCTTTTTTTAACCTCAAAATTCCTCTTCCTGAGCCTATCCCAAACGTAAAAATTTTCTACGAAGTTCACACAGCTTTTCAACACAGTGTGTGGCTTTAAAATTCAAAAATTGTCTTTTCAATCTATCTTTTACCTAGCTGAAATGAAATACCAATGTGTTAAATCAAATTTCAAAGTGAAATCAAAGGACAAGCCATTTCTCAAACTCTCAGGGGACCTCAGAACTCAGTGTCATGTCTCACCTACCAAATGCATGACCCCTCCTCCTCTATCTACCTAAACATTCCCACTGCAAGAGGTCAGGGTAGAGGTGGAGAGATAACTCACCATCTCACAGGCAATTCGTTACTTTTTCAGTTGTTAGAAAAGGTTTTCCATATGCTGAATTGAGACTGCCTGGAACCCTGCAGCTTGTGATCTTTCTTCTACAGCTATGTCCTTCCATACTACAGCCTTGAAAACTGTGTTTGCCAGAAAGGAATAAAACTCTTACGATGCTGACCGATGACAAGACTTTTCAATACCTTTTTATTCTGGAGACACTTATACCTAACAATCTACAACTGGTCTAAGCAACCACCTTTCAAATGGCTTTAGTCATCACCTTTAAAAGTCTGGTTTCACAACATCCATTACTCTACCGCATCAACTTTCAGAACTAACCACATTTATCTACTTTTCACGCTAAATTAAAAACGGGGAATACAGAAAGACAACTTTACATACACACGTTTTAATAAAATTCAAGCTAAATGGTACCTGCAAATAAATTTCTTCTTGGGAGGGCTGGTATCTACATTCGTTAGTACACAAACTTGAAAGCGCAACACAAGCAGCGATTCATTATAATGGACTTCCAATTGCAAACTGAGAAAAAGATAGAACTGAAACTTCTAAGTGACTAACACACAATTGTATGTAGTTCAATAAAGATTCATTCTATATACTACACCCTGAAATCTTCCAATGGGGACTCCCACAAGAGTCTGTGCTACAATGCAGTGAGTCTTTAACACAAGAAATGCTGTGAGAGCCTCAACACAGTACCTGCATCTAAAATTTTAAATCTCTTCTATGCTCAGTTTTCACCCTAAAGAGAGGAGGAATGCTCTTCAGGCCTACAGAGTACCACAAAAAAGAAACAGGAAAACCTCTCTGGGAATCCAAGAAAAGACTGCAACTTCCACATCTTTTACAAGAGTTGTCTAACAAAGAATATTTCCTCAATTCCAAGATACATAAATGATCTGAGGAAGGTGGGAAAGGAAAATAAGTCATCAAGGGGTACACCGTAAGAGGTATACATTTCAGAATCTAAAAATATAAAAGATATGCGTCTTAAAGTTGAGGAGTTACATAGAATAGGCTACCTGCAAGCGGAACTGCAAACCACTGCATATTAGAAGGAAGGCTTCCCCAAAGCCTGTCAGAGATATACAAGCTCATGGTGGCATTTTTCATTCATTTCCCCCAAAGTATGGATCTTATTTTAGGATCCAATTTCCCCAAATGGAAAGCAAGCAAAACTGTTCAAAACCAGTAAGTCTTTGTGTTTGTTACCCATTAACAACCTACTCAAAAACAGGTTTTATGAACAATACAAAAATAGAAATTTTTTGTTGTTTAATCTTACTTTATTTAGGTCAAGGATCTCTTCAACACAACTTCATCATTGTTACAATGTCCTTATCTGTAGCCATGGAGGCCTCCGCCTCCAGGGAGGAGTTCACCTTGATTATTTGCAAAGGGCCCCTGCCCAACCTCGCCAGGGTTTCAAGGAAGGTTAATTGAATTATTATTTTAAATACACTGTACTATGTGGCTTATCTGAACTGGAGTAAAAAATGTATGATCCACACCAAAGACTGTGAATCCTGGTTGTTACAGGATACAAAAAAAAAAAGGAACACAGAGGAAATACATTTAACTAACATACTTGAAGCTCTGTTAACAAATGTACAGTACTTGGCAGTTATGCTAAAGACAAAGAAGAGTTCTGAATTTTCATTCCAAAGGTTTATGGAATGAACAAATACTATGTCTATACGTTGACTCAAATACATTGACTGTTTAATGATACTTGTTTTCTCCCTAAAACAAGGTGAAACAAAATAAATTTCAGTATCTCCACTTCCCAGGTTCTGATAGCTCCTAAAACGCATAACTTAAAGGGAGGACTTAAACTGCCACATAATTTTAAATGTTTCCTTTTTAATACTGTGCTTTTCTTTTCTTCATTGTTCCCATTCTCTTTAAGCAGTGTATTTCAGTATAGAGGAAAGAGGGCCAAGAAAGGGGCAATACTCAGGAGGCTAAACAATGCAATCTTACCCTCCCCCAAATTCAGGGAGAACAAGCTTGGGGACACAATGGCATGCCTGACCAGACTCTCCAGACCTGATCGAGAGACACTGGTGTCTTTTCCACTTTACAGTGTGCAAAGAACGGAACGATTTTCTAATGCTCTGTGATTGGCAGCGTTTCAACAGCGCTTGGACCAAGACCCCAGGCTTAACTTCCTAACAGCTCCTTTTCAAAACTGACCCAAAACATGGAATGTGCCCAAGCCTCTGGCGCTGTAGGAAGCTATCTTCCCAAAGTTCGAACATCGAATTATTATCATTTTTATTATTATACCTGGAAGGGAAGGGGGGAGAGGAAAAAAAGCACACACCACACTCTACGTTACCGAATTCACGGAAGAATGGGGATTTCGGCGACGGCTTGAGGAGTACCTGACCCAGAACAGAGAACGAAGAGCTGCCTCCGGGCCGCGGGTCCCTGTCCTCGGCCACAGCGTTACCTGGAGTGAACGGACTGCAGGATCGCTTAACATCCCTCCAAACCTGAAATCCTCTACCTCAAGAGCAATCAAAAGCAGAGGGAGCCAAATTTCTTCCGGAAGGCGCAAAAAAGGCCACAACTTGGATGAATGAAACTGGGCTAAGGGCACCCGGAGCAGGGCTGTCGCTGAAGTCAGAAAACGAGAAGTCAAAGATTTTTTTTTTGACGTGAGAGCCGGTTCTACGCGACCGTGGTCCAGACAATCGCACAAACACGCTTTGGAGAAGGTTTTATTGAGCGCGGACGGTTCCGGGGCGGCCGGCGGAGGCGAGGCGGAGGCGGGTGGGCGGCGGAGCTGGGCCGGAGCGGGCGGCAGCGGCGGGGCCGGCGACGAGGCAGCTTCGCGACGGCGGGCGCGGGACCCGGGCCGGGGCCGGGCGCTGGCGCGTGTCCTCCCGCGGACCTTCCACTGGACTCCCGCGGGCCGCCCCGCCCCCCGTCCCCCTCCCGCCCGCCAGACCGCCCGGCGGCCGCGTGCGAGGCACACCCTCCCGCGGCCGCGCGCACGCGGCCTCGCCGGGCCGGCCGGCCCCACGCGCCCCCTCAGCGCGGACGCCCGCCGCCCGCGGCCCCGGCCCCCTCCGGCCGCGCGGGGAGGGCGGGGAGGGCGGGGGGCGGCGGCCTAGCGGCTGCGAGGGCGCCCGCGCGGGAAGGCGGGTTCTGAGGGGAAGGTCACTTACCCGCTGCATGGCTTTCAGGATCAAAGCCAGCTCGTAGCGGGGCATGCCCGAACACACAGCTCTCGGCTCCGAACCGAGCCGGCTCCCGGGACGCAGGAGGGCGGGGACCGCGCGGACCGGACAGGATGCTGTGCCGGAAAGCTCCCAGGCGGCGAAAGCACGCTCCGGCCGAGCGAGCCCGGGCTTTAAGGCTCTGGCAGCTGCGCAGACGGGCCGCCACGCCCCCTCAGCGAGCCACGCCCCCGTAGGCCAAGCCACGCCCCCTCCGTGAGGCGGCTGCGCCGACCCCCTCCACAGCCGCGCTCCCCGCCGCCTGCGGTCCCCGCCGGGACCCCCCACCCTGGCCTCGCAGGTGCTGCGCGGGGGGAGGCACCGCGGATTCGGCCGGGAACCTCCAGCGCCAGCCGCACGCCCCCTCCGACCCTGCCGCCGCCGCTGCCGCCGCGCTTGCTACGTACAGTTCTCGAACCAGCTGGAACTTTCCATGCCTTCCGTCTCATCCTGGGCGGCGGGCGAGCCTGCGCCCCCGTGTGCGCGTGCGCTGCGGTGCGGTCTGGCCCGTGCGCGCGCCCCTACCCCGCGACTTACCGGCGTGAGGGGCCTGCTCCGTGGCTGCGCTGCTCCCTGCGGGATCTCGGCCGGACCAGGGGCTCTCTCCGCCCCCGGCCGCGCACCCGGGTTCCGGAACGTTCCCGCTTCTGTCTGCGTCCCCCACCCACACTCCGCGGGGGATACAGGGGCTGGGGGGCCGGCTACCCCTCGCGCCCTTGCCCACAGCTCTCCGTTCCAGTGCGGCTGCTGGCGCGGCTTCCCGGGGCCCCTTCTGCGGCGAAGCGGGCGCCAGGCGCAGGCAGTGGGCCGCCGGGTTCGGATCTTGCCCGTCCCTCGCCGGCTGCCTGACCTTGGGCAGGCTCCTACAAAAAGGGGATGCGAAGGGCACCTACTTCCCAGGGCTGTGATGCCTCTGAGTGAGTTGATGCCCTTAAACCGCTGAGAACGATGCCTGCACAGACCGGCATTTGTTGTTCTATGAGCACGGCCTGACCCACGTGCTGTTGCTAAGGATAGGCTAAGACTTTGGTTCAAATGTTTACTGGGCGTTCATTTAGAGAACCAGCTGGATGCTTGGAAAGCCACTTAGTAACTGTCCAGGATCGTGCGTGCCCTGGAAGGAGTGGAGCCTCATCCTGTGTACCCCTTACCCCCTCAAGCACGAACGCAGAGGTCACCTCCCTCCAGCCGTTGGCAGTACTCTCCCTGGCAGGAGTTGTACTAAATGCATTTGTCTCCAGCTGCACTCTTTAGAGTCGGAGTCCCCTGCAACTGTAGCCTCTGCCCATGCTTGCCCCATTAAAATGGTCCGTAGGCGAAATGTTTGTCAACTTTTAAGTGCTTTAATAATAGCTAAAACTTACTGAGCACTAACTATGGATCATGCACCACGCTACGATTTTTACATTGCAATGAGGCAAGAACTATTCTTAACCCCACTTTAGGGATTTAGAAATACAGACACGCAAAGGTTATGATAGTAACAGAGACAAAGTTTGCATCCAGACTATGGAGACTGAGCTCATACTCTTATTCAGTAGACGTGCTCTGTGTGAACCAAGAACGAGTCCCTTTGTCACCTTATCCAGACACCTTTCTATTTCTCATCCCCAACCTCCCATCCATCACCAGAGATAAGGATGGTTTGAACACAAACTCTTCTGTGATACCTGGATTTTAATATTTTCCTTTCGTGGATGACTACACCACACATATTCTTCCAAAGAGAAACTACAGAAGTATTAATACAAATTACCTGGTTAGTGTAATTTCGCCTTTGGATATAAAGAGTAGAATATTGTAAATAAATAAAATAAGGAAGTAAGGAATTTTCTGGACCTTCAGAAGTGAGTTACAGGTTTCCCAGGATGGTCCCTACTTCAACTGTCCCTCCTGTTACCAATCATATGTCCCCGTTTGAATGAGAACATGTGGACCCCAAAGGAATATGCTGAGCCAAAGACCAGGGCAATACCAAGAGCTGACTTCAGCTTTTAACATTCCACCTAGGAAGCGCCACAGTTTCCCCCAGTGCCCAGGGGTGAGTGAGAATCTGGCTGCTGCTTCTCCTCCTCCCTCTAACCTGAGAAGTAGCATAAGGAAATTAGCCTGATTGCCTAATGCTTCAACACAGTCAGCACCCCCAACTCTCCCAAGCTGGTGGCTGCCTGAGGGCTCATTCCATTTCTTCTGAAAAGGAGAAAAAGGAACATTGTACTCCTTTGATTATTTGAAATGCTGATTAAAACAGGCCTTCTGCAGCGAAACTTGTAAATAAGGAAGTATCCCATGTTCAGTAGCTGTTTACTGTTCCATCTTTTGTTGTTGTTAATAAACTTTACACCCCTTCAATTTTTTTTTTTTTAAGCACAGCTGCAGAATGCTGGCGGTATCATTTAAAAATAATAATAAAATCATAGAGAATGCTGCTGCAAATTTAGTGTCTTCCTACTGTAACTATAAATGTAAATTCACCAAAAAAGATTTTTGTGCAACGTATAGTCATCATTTAGAATTATAAAATATTTCTTCAGTATCTATGTATAAATTTTAAAAATTGCTCTGATGCTTAAGAATAAGCTTAACCAAAAAGGTGAAATATCTGTATACCGAAAACTACAAAACACTGATGAAACAAATTAAAGCAGACACAAATAAATGGAAAGATATCCATGTTCATGGGTTGGAAGAATTAATATTGTTAAAATGCCAATAGTTCCCAAAGCAATCTACAGATTCAATGCAATCCCTGTCAAAATCTCAATGACAATTTTTAGAGAACTTCTTTAAAAGAATCCTAAAATTCATGTGGAATTTCAAAAAAACCGCTGAATAGCCAAAGCAGTTTTGAGCAAGAAGAACAAAGCTGGAGGCATTATAATTCCTGATTTCAAACTGTATTACAAAGTTATAGTACTCAAAACGGTACTAGCATAAAAACAGACATACAGACCAATGGAACAGAATAGAGAGCACAGAAATAAACCCACACATATGAGATCAATGGATGATCTTCAACAAGGGTCTAAAAATACACAATGGGAAAAGGATAGTCTCTTAACATATAGTGCTGGAAAAACAGGATATTCACTTGCAAAAGAATAAAATTGGACTTGTCTTACACCACACACACACACACACACACACACACACAAATCAACTCAAAATAGGTTAAAGATGTATATATAAGACTTGAAACCATAAAACTCCTAGAAGAAAACAGGGAAGAAGCTCCTTGACATTGGCCTTGGTAATAATTTCTTGGATATGACACCAAGAGCAAAGATAGACAAATGGGATTGCATTAAACTAAAAAGCCTCTGCACAGCAAAGGAAATAATCAACAAAATGAAAAAGAAACCTACAGAATGGGAGCAAATATTTGCAAACTATATATCTAATAAGGTGTTAATATCCAAATATATAAGAAACTCATACTATTCACAGCACTAAATAAATAAATAATAACCTGATTTTAAAATGGGCAAAGGAACTTAATAGACATTTCTCAGCAGAAGGCATGCAAATGACCAACAAGTACATGAAGAGGAGCTTGACATCACTAATCATCTAGGAAATGCAAATCAAAGCCGCATTGAGATATCACCTCACACCTGTTAGAATAACTATTACCGAAAAGTCAAGAGACAACAAGTATCGCGAGGGTGTGGAGAAAAGGGAACCCTGTACACTATTGGTGAGAATGTAAATTGGTGCAGCCACTATAGAAAACGGTATGGAGGCTCCTCAAGAGATTAAAAATAAAACTCCCATATGATCCAGCAATCCTTCTTCTGATTATATATCTAAAGGAATGAAATCAAGATGTTAATGAGATATCTGCACTCCCATGTTCATTGTAGCATTATTCATAACAGCCAAGACAGGAAAGCAGTCTAAATGTCCATGAGTGGATAAAGAAGATGTGGTAAATGGGGCATTATTCAGCCTTTAAAAAGAAGGAAATTTTTCCATTTGTGACAACATGGGTGAACCTGGAGGACGTTATGAAAGTGAAATAATCCAGACACAGAAAGACAAGTACTATATGATACCACTCATATGAGGCATCTAAAATAGTTAAACGCATAGAAGCAGAGAGTAGAATGGTGATTAGGAGGACCTGGGAGAAGCAGGGGAAAGAGGAGGTATTAGTTAGTCAAAGAACACAGTTTCAGTTCTACAAGAAAAAAAAAATTACTCTGTAATTTAGAGTCTCCTAAAGATTTGATATGGTATACGTTTAAGATTTGATTAGCCAGAAATTATAATACATTTTCAAGTAAGTTTTTATGAAAGGGAATAGAAAAGAAAAAATAAGAAGTCAAAATCTGATCCTATTTCAAAAAAGTAACCTCAGCTTATGCCCTACATAAGTTTAATCACGTTTACCCTTTTATTTTATATTATAGTATAATGAGGCTTGACCTTGAGTCACACTAGATCATTAATTCTCAAAGATATCTCAAAAAGAGTCCTGTATCTCTAAATACAACCCTCAGAAAGTGAAGAAATGTGAATGTTTTCAATCAACGGAGAAAATAATCCCACGGTGGAATCAAGTCATATTTAAGGCTGTCAATCATCACTGTCACCAGCCTATCATCTTCTTGCTGATGAAAGGGAGCCATTTCTGGCAAATGTGAGCTCCCCATCCTGTATCTCACTTCACTAAGACCTGAGATTGTTCCATCGCTAATTGCTCCCAG